CCCCCCCGCCCCGCCGACACCCCCCACTGGCTCCACCCCTTCACATACAGACACCCAGTGGGGCAAGGGGCCAGGAGTGGACAGAGGCGCCCTCTGTCTCCTGGGCTGGAACAGGCTGGCCTGTGTCCTCTTCTCCAGTCTACCCTGCCTCCCCCGACGCTGGGTCCCAAAAGGCAGGGCCCAGGAGGAAGGGAGGTGGGAAAGGTCCTGGGAAGAAGGAACACTCAGAGGCCTTCTCGGCTCCCCCGGCCTCCCGCAGTACTGGGTATGCTGCTAGACCAGGAAGAGGTACACGCACCTGGCTGAGGGGCTCAGCGAGGGAACTTCTCAGTGAATAATTTAGTCTTGGTAGTCTCCCCGAGGGGTTTCAGCCTGAGACCCCACTGCGGGATTTCAATCCAGGGTCTCCTCTATCGGGGGCTCGGCCTGGGTCCCCCTCTGTTTGTGGGGTCTCAGTCTGGATCCTCTGTAGGGGTCTAGGGCTGCAGGGTCCTTGGTGGGATCCCATTCTGAGGGGCCCTCTTGTGGTGTTTCTTAGATGGGACCTCTCAGTGCCGAGCTCCCTCAGTTGATTCTTTTAATTTACAGTGGCCTCCCCACGCCCCAACATATATACTCCAGATCAGACGGGGCGGGTGTAGTGGGGCAGCAGGCTCCCCGTGTTGGGAGGGATGGGACCCCAGGATGCCTGCTGAATGGGATCTGGCCAGGCAGCTCCAGGCGGGCCCTCCCCTTCACCAAGGGGAGGCTGCGGTGGGCTGCGTTGGGTGGGGCCCGGGTTCCAGGCTTGATTGCTTGGGGTGGGGAGGGCCGGGCGGGAGGCGTGACTGGGCGTGCTCCTCTCTTCAGAATGCACGACGGAAACTTGACACCTCCGGGCTTGGGAGGGGCTCTTTCCTCCCTCCAGGGACGCTTATAAACCTCAGCCCTAGGGCTCCTGCCTCGCTGCATCCCATCTCCTTGCCCCGGTGAGTCGCAACACTTACCCCTGGAGGGTTCCTGGGGAGCCTTTTTCCGCCCTGGGCTCCCAGGTCCCTACCGTGGAGCCGGCTCAGACTGGGATTCAGGAAATGGCTTTGGGAAATCCAGCAGCAGTCCTTGCAGAGGGCAGGGGGTGGGTGGGAAAAGGGAGGATGATTGGGCATGCCCCCTTGCCCCAGCCATACCCGCCCCCTCCCCCACCCCCGCTCCCCTCCCCTCCGGGCGCTGTGAGTGCCAGTACCAAGTCTCTCCTGGGCGCGGGCAGTCAGCGGAGCCCCATCCAGGACCTGTTGCTGGGAGACGGGGGCGGGGAGGGCTATGGGGTCCTGGGCTCCGCACTCTGCCCAGCTGCCCCCGAGGGGAGGGGCGAGCGGGACGACAGGGAGGCGG